TGCACACCTTCTCATTCGCAGGGATAATGGCTGAAGGAGGGAGAAGCCAATCACAATTTGATATCCAGAAGGTACCTTTGGTAAGAGGGTACCGTACACCACCATGGTCAAATGTGGTTTCTGATGAACCACTGCTTGAACGACTGCTCGGCCTTTTTATTATTCTCGCTCGATTTAAGGCACTGTCCACGGTCGTCGCATGGGTGGAGACACCCGTTGCACCCCGCTGGTGCGCCCCTCTTGCACTCCTCCCTTTCCTGCCCCTCCCCCCCTAGAACTCCTACGACGAGAGACGCATCAGTGAGACAGCCAAAATTATCCGTCTCCGCGTACACGCTTACACTGCCCTTTGGTTGTTTTTACAGTCTTGGTCACTACGGATGAAGGGGCGTGTCAAGACTGCATTTGGCTGGCGCCAAAACCTGTTATCTACAAGTTGTTGAAGCGAGTAAGCGACAAGAATTAGTGGAAAACGACTGATACGAAAGATATGATACAGTCTTGTCGCTTGCTCAATTCGGCAGTTAGTGGGCGAAGGGTTTGACGCCGCGCCAAACCCGTCCCCCTGACACGCCTTTACATCCGTTGCGAACGAGACTGTACAGCAGCTGCAGCTGGAAACAGCCGCTGATCTATAAAAAGAAGCCGAAGCGTAGTACTGCAGTATGTAGCTAATAAGCTGTGGTAGGGAACAGCGCGCTGAAGATCGGGGCGTGAGACCCTGGTAAATAAGGGATAATAGGTGACTAGAAAATGGGTGTAATACAGGTGATGACGTCGACCACTGGTTGTTTTATTCCTTAATCCTTCACTAGTCGACCACTGTAGGTGAACATGGATTCAGAGGCGGGCTCATTCTCTCCACCCCCCCCCCTCCACCCCATCTCTCGGTCACTTGGTGGAAGGTGCGTATTCTGTCTTCATTCGTTTTAGGGAAGCTAAAGCTACACTTCACCTATCAGTGCTGGAAATAGTTCTGTGGTGCAACCCCGGCTCAGAGAACAGTGCATGGTATTGTGAAACTCATATCTCTATCATGCTTTCATCCACGAGAGGCGATACTGGTCAAGAGGACAGAAAGCCAGTTCGGGAAGTAAGTTCATGCTCCACTGTTCAGATGGAACAAGTAAAATTCCGGATCATAGAGAGGTCGATCAGGTTTTTGTTAACTTTTTTAGAGGCGGGTCAGGAGATTCGAGTAGTGGCGAACGCAGAAAGTACATGTGACGTTCCTTAGCTGCCTAAGTTGGCTCGCTGTAGCACTTTTGTATGAAATCGAATAGCTCCTTGTGCGAAAGTTACGCACGCGACACCCTTTGCAACGCTGTTCTCGCCGCGTCGCCAGAGTTCAGTATTTTTTTTTCGATGGAGATACCCACCACGGGTTCAAAAACGTTTACGAACCTGATAAATTAAGGTCTCGACGGAAGTCTACTCGTGACCGTAAGGGCCAAATTTTTATTTTTTATGCAACACCCTTCATAATCATTGTCTCGCGACCTATAAAGAGATTCAGGCTTTCGCCACATTTCATTCGAATAATCGGTTCCACTTATTCGTGATTCCACGTTCTGTGGTTTCTCCGATTCAACAGAAGGTTGAAATATCCTTCAAAATTCTCAGTGTGGTCAGCTCGAGGTAAAGTTTGTCATGAGCACTAGTTTTCTGTCAGTCGTTCAAAAACCATTAAAACTTTTGAGAAATCATAATAATCTACATTGAACTCTGCTTGTTCAAGTGTTTATAATTTAGCAAACATGGCGAAAGACTGCCACGAAAAGGCATTCACAAACGCTTATAACTCTCGGATTCTTCTTTTAATCAATGTTCAGATATGGATACTGCATCCAGTGCCAATCTACAGGTCTGTTTCCTCACTACTTTTATTTGCGATTTGCCCTACTTCCTTTGGTACAAAGATCAGGGCAAGTCTCGTCGCTGGTCAACTGTTTTGCACAATACGACCCCCCCCCTCTCCCCCCAACGACCACATTTGCTTTCCTTTTCGCTTCCGCTAGTATCGACGATCTTTCTAGCATCCTATAAACGGATTCTCGTGATTTTTTTCAGTTTTTCTTAATCTTTCTTTTCGTATGAGGGCTAGACAAGCCCCCCCCGCCCGGCCGCTCAAAAGCTGAAGTAAATTACGAAAATGACGCCCTTCCTCCATTGACACTCGCAGTTGCGTTTCTAAGATCACTGAGCCAGTTAGATAAGCAGAGAGGAGGTCCATTCCACCCATCGCGTCGCCCAGAGACGAGTTCAGGCTACATGCTTTGGAGCTAAATTTTCTGTTCAAGACACATCAGTGGAATGGAAGATTTCGCGCAAGTCTCTGCCGCTCCTCCTCACTAGGAGGTGACTTGATACGATCTTCGCCCCCCCCCGGCATCGCTTCTCTGCAGGCGCTTCGAAACTGCGGAGCGGAGATTTGGCAGATTCTGTTAGGGGAATCGGGAGTGTTAATTTGGTAGTAGCTGTCGGCCTCTATCGGTTTTCATGGCATACAGCTCACTGAAGTAAGCGCTGTTTGTACTATATTTACCACTCTTATTATTAGCTTTAGATTCACTAGCCAAGTGCTTCACCATAGCTCTGTTTAGGAAGGAAATTCGACCCTCAATGTCGAAAGAAGCAATGTTGAAGAAGAAGTTGTGCCTGAGCTGGAACGTGACGAGAATGGTCGCAGTGGGGAACAAGTGACTTCTCCGTGGCTTCTCATCCGGAAGCGGCTGGACCTTCCACAATGGGAACAACTGGATTTGAAGATGAATCAAGTTCATCCGACATTGCTGAGGAGCGAAGTGTGGATGCAGAAGTGGCTCTCATCGCTGAAAACGCCGTAGTGCAGCTTGAATAAGGAACTTCAGTAAGCTTCTGTTCGAGGCATCAGGGCAACGCTGGGAAGGCACAAGTGCTCATGATTCTGAGACTGCGAATCGTAGAGGCGGAGCAGAATTTCAGCTGGCCGTTATTGAGTTACACGTTAATGCGGAAGCAGGGCCGTAATTCCGTGAATGTGGAAGCTACGTACGCATCATAATTGAGGCAAGCAATTGGCCGATGTGTTTTACTTCGTGCTTGCGGGCGTCCGAGACTGCTGAAGGGCGGAGCAGTGAAGGATTCATTGGTGCCCTGTTCTCCCACCTTCTTCAGCTGCAGTAGGCTTGGAAAAGATGGGGCGCGCCCAATAAGGTTGCGCCCTGGCTCCGCCCTTTAGGCGTCTATCAAGGGTATGCTTTTAAAGCGTCACCAACAACGATTTCTTTTCCAAATTTTCAAAAATTGGATAAGTTACTAATATCAGCACGGCATATTGTACTTTCAGAACGATAGGAACGCAAGAGTAAAAGTCTCAAGGATTGGTCGATTATGGCGGACAATCAACCCCGGACGTTCGGTGTGTCGAAACTCCCAATGTTGCATCCGAGATCACAACAGCGTAATGGGATCCGAAAGGAGCGCTGAAAAAATGCAGCGGCGGGGAGGTGGTGCAGTGGCAAGTAGCCGGCTTACGCCTGGTCCATGGGTCAAATCCAGATTGCAGTCGATCTGGGATTCGGTTTGCAGGGATGTAAAGGATAAAGTTTCGCTGTTGATCAATCCTTTTGGTGGTGCGGCACGCATCCTACTTCGCATTCAGAGTTCGCAAAAGCTTTTATGGATACCAGATTTTATCTCCGCGAGTATAGAAGGCTGCATGGGCCTGGCGGAGTCGACGCGCGTAGTTTAACCCAGGACCGGCGGCAAGTGGTAACGTGCCACTTGTCACTATTTATCAACTTCGCCGTCTTGCGAGGGATAGTGACTCCTGCCAGTATTCGAGGAAAATAATGCGATTTCCTGTTTTTGTTCGCTTTCCAAGATGTATTTTCATGTAGACGGCCACCCTCTTCGGCAAAAGGAGCGACTACTCTCCCGAAAAAACAACCGACGAACCGTGATTTTTCAGAGGTAGTAGAACTTGAACCTTGTTCTTACAAAAGGGCACCCTTAGTTGAAGGCAGTATTCACGCTGGTCGAATGGGCCACGACAGGCCTGCTATTGTGCCTTCTACTAGTACACCCCTCCACTTGAGACGATAATGGGAATACACAATCATGGGCCCGTCTCCGCCCACTCGCGATCGGCGTGTACTATACTTGTGAGGGAAATGCTTCACTCAGCCATAAATATTAAGCGTTAAGGCACTGACTTTCAAGAAATTCCACCCGAACAAACTGCAGAAGTCTGAACAGATTGCTGTTGATCACGATATGAAGAACTTCTCAATGTACGACATCTTCCACGATATTGTACTTCAACCTCACATGCCACTGGAAAGTGTAACGAGCTGCTTCGTTAAGCAGTTTTGCACGAAGGTGAGTTCTTTCAACACCACAATTCACATTAAATAGGCCAGGCTATCTGAACCTGTCACAGGAGCTTTTCATTCATTGGGGTGCGAGTTGAATAGTGCCACGAGACGTTAGCAAAGTCATTTAGACTCCAAAATGTATGATGCAAGAGGGTAAATCATGCAAAATGCGCTATTTCGTCGCAATACGACCTAGAATTCGGCCCCACAGCGGTTGATATCTTCGCGATCCGGTGGTGCCGTGTCAGAAGGCGTGGAAAGAGCCCACCTTTGATGTTTTCCACCACTGGCTGAAACCGTCATATTCGTATAAAATGACCGCCGGTGGGCTCGCTGCACGATTCCTGTGACCGTCCCCGTCAGATTGCGACGATACCAGCAGTACTTTTTGTAGTGGAAGTCTACCCGAACTTCATTTCAGCTTTACAGTGCAGAGATTATTACGTTACTGATTACTCACTTTCTCAACTCATGCGAAGGCTGTGCGTTCCCGTTACTTGTCGAACTAATAGCTTGTAAGTTTTTAGATATTTTACTCTTTTAAACTTTTTTTTCGTCAAAGGCACGCACCGTGAAGAGAGTGGAAATCGTCGTAGGTAGGGACGGGGAGATGGTTGAAAAACAGAATTCAATGCGCTAGCCGACTTGCCTTTCGAAGAAAGAACCAGACAAAGTTGTTGAGAACATTCTCAATGAGGCGCTCCTTGCTTCAAACGAGAGGCAAAGGTTATTGAAATTTCTGGGGAGAGACCAGAAAAGTACGCAAGAGATCATATAGGCGAGCGAGACGATAGACGCCAAAGCTGTCATTGCACAGCTTCAATGAGGATTCCTATGGGGGGGTCGTATTTGGGCTGGGAAAAATTTATTTTTATAGTTGATTTTTCTCGCTTTGCGGACGTTTTGGAGGGGGGGGGTCGTATTTGGTCGTTGTTGGGAGGGGGGTCGTATTTCTGGCTAGGAGTTACGTGGTTCGGGGGGTCGTACCAGCCCCTGAAAAAAAGGGGGGGTCGTAAAAGCTCGACCAAAATCCGCCATCGAATGCTGTGCCCTGGCTGTTGCACTTGGCAAGTTTCATTCGAGCAACCTTGTGTATAAGCGCCCTTATTCGCAATTTTTTGACCTAAATGCTATAACGTTGTCCTTCCCGGCCCGTGTTATCCACGCAAAGCTTTGTTTCCAATAGCGAAGTGTGTCTTCAAAATAGTGGCGACATGTACAACACTATTGGAAGAACATTTTAAGCTGCCATCATCTCTGGGTACGGTTTCGAGGAGCAACTCCACCACAGTGATTTTATGATTAAAGAGTTGAAAACGATACTTCAAAAGCAGTTAAACAGGAACTTTGAGGAGCTGTTGTGAGTACCTGTGCTTCTCTGCTATCGTCTTTATTCTAATATGCGGATTTAATTCAATTTTTTTTACAGTTCAACTGCGGTGCCGTGAACATCAAGCTCTGAGCTTGACACCAACTCAGGCAGATAAGGACTTCTAGCTGTGAACAAAGGTCCATAATTTACCTGAGAATGGTTTCCAACATGCTCTTTGTTGAGGGTGGTTTTAACCACTTTTAGTTTTAGCATAGATTCATGTATTTATTAGAACAGTCTATTCTCAGAAAATAGGCTACTGATAGTTTCAGGGAACCTTATTTCTACGGTTATATTATTTTACTTTGCTTCAGGGAATATTATTCCTACAGTAGCAAAAAAGCCTCTACTAAGCCGAATATAGTATTCCTTAAAGTTTATTAGATTTATCTGAATTTGTGCACGACGAACTGGTATCTTAGGAGAAGTATGTCTGGTGGTTGAAGGCAGTGGCGCGAATGTTGGAGTCGGGCGGTTGCTGCCGACGTAATTGGTGGAAGGGGACTTGGCCACACCCCCCGCCCACCCGAAAGAAGGAGGGCATTCGCTAAACTGCCCATCGCTCTGGGGGGACGGGGGTGTGGCCAAGTCCCCCTCCACCGATAAGGTTGGCTACAACCGCCCCTCTGCAACAAACATGCCCATTACCCTCGAAATCCCTGAGATAAGGTAGGCGTGGCTGCGTACTTCAACTAAAGCAGTGCGGTGGCTGTGCTTTTGATGAAATATTTTCATTTGACGCAATTGTGGTCATGTCTCCGTCAACACTGAGCAAGATGACGCTGTATCAAAGTGAAACATCCGCGAGTACCCCTCTCTGTGCCATGTTCACATTCACGCCTACTCCGTCTCAGGGATAGGATGTGTACCTTTAGGCTTTGATCAGACCTTGCACGAGAATAGGGAATCGTAGAACCTATCAAATGGAATTGATAAGTATCGATTGCTGACGTCCACTGATTCTCAGATTCCAAAGAGAATAGGTTCACTCATTCGACAGGTGTCTGATACGTTTCCCATATTCTCCAACTCCAGGCGTGTTCACCTACATACATATTTCAGGATATCTTCAAACGGTGATTGATTCGGTTGTTTTCACAGTAATTCTTCCCACCTGTCACATCCACATACCTAAAGAGTTCACTATTTCTATACTGAATTGAAGAGGATTTGAAAAATTGAATAAATATTTCAAGTGCGTTTCACATTTATTTCATATTCTTCACGCATTCGTGACCTACGCATGTCTATTTGAACTAGAACTATGAGGAAATAATATTACTCAGTTTTTTTTCGGAATTAAAATTTCCTTAAAATTACATTAGGACTCACTCAACTGGGAATTTTCACACCAAAACACCGCTATTTGGGGAAACGCGCTCTACAAAGCTGGTTCTTCACTCGTTTATCCGACCACGAGGAAGTGGAATAGTGGTTACTACTACACAATTTGACGTAGCCTTCTAGGTAGAAACGGTGAGTTGGAGATCAGATTTATCCCAGCATGCTGCAAAGTACATTTTTTGAGCGGCAAAAGTCATATGTCTAGGGAAAACTGTCTAAGGGCTATCGAACTGCATGTTCGGCATTGCGAAGGGGGGGGGCGGGAATTTGCCAGTTTCAGCCTACTGCCCATTGCGCTCTGGTCGAGCAAGTACAGTTAAATATTCGTGCAAATCTTGGTGTCGAGCAGTCAAGTAAATATTCGTGAAATCTTGTGAAGCCATAAAGTGATACCAGACAAAGTTTGTGGAAACTACTTGTCGCTCTTGTAAAGAATACCTGTAAATTCTTGTAAAGCAATGAGCAATCGACGGGAAGTGGATAAATGCCAATTGTCCTCCCCCCTCAGCCGAACTGCGCCAATTCTCCGACTCTCCGAGAATGAAATTCACATGCATGCCGCATCCCAAAGTGATTATTGGTAAGCGACGGATTTACAGCACAACATGGGTGGTTGCATCAATTAACTGGGCAAACCGCAATTCATCCATTTTACCTGGAAGACATTTGGGTAAAAACAGCCAATAAAAGTCGGTGGTTACCAAAAATGTCACAAAAATTCAAAAGTAACAGTGCGGTTCATCACTCCCTACCTCAGGCATATATTTTCTAGTTACACTTTTTGTACAGTCAATTCTGTAAGGGAACGTTGCAATGGTGCTGTCGCTGGCTTGCGTCCAGGTGTGACCCTTCTTGGCGAACACGTATCCCGGGGAACTTTCTGAGCGCGTCGCCAAATATCCCTGGGATATTCACAGGCAGTCTGACCGAGTTATCTCATCCTCCAATGGTCAGTACATCACAGCCGTCTTTGCAGATGGTGATTACCTTAATTACTTTGTAACGTTCCTAATAGTCTCCATGAAACTTTATTTATTTGATGTACCTTTCCCTTTTTTCACTTTTTCTTACTGTTTCTATTTCTATTACCGCTTTTGACTGTAAACTTAGCACTTCTGCTTGGCGTAGGTATTACATATATTTTCATTTGTACTGAAAACCTTTTCTAAACACGTT